TTTAATTTCCTCTGTAATCCATTGATTGTTTAGGAGAGTGCTGTTCAGTTTCCATGTGCTTGTGAAGTTTCTATAGTTTCTTGTGCTATTGATCTCCAGTTTGATTGCACTATGATCTGATAATATACAGGGGATGACTTCAATTGTTTTGAATTTATTTAGACCTGTTCTGTGAGCCAGTATGTGGTCTATTTTGGAGAATGATCCATGTGCAGCCAAAAAGAATGTATATTCTGATTTTTTGGGGGTGGAATACTCTATAAACATCTATTAAGTCCATGTGTTCCAAAGCTTGGTTCAGTTCTATTATTTCATTGTTGATTTTCTGCCTAGATGATCTGTCAATTTGTGATAGTGGGGTATTTAAATCCCCCACTACAATTGTATTAGTGCTTATTTGGTTTTTCATGTTACTTAATATTTGTTTTATATAGTTGGGGGCATTTATATTTGGTGCATATATGTTTATGTTTGTCAACTCTTCCTCTTGAATTGTTCCCTTTACAAGGATGTAGTGTCCTTCTTTGTCTCTCTTAATGAGTTTTGGTTTGAAATTTACTTTATCTGAGGAGACCAGGAGTTTTGAGAGGATAAAAGCAACACTTGTTTGAATGGGGAGAAAAAAATGACAAAAAAAATTACTTCCAGGCCAAAAGGAATGAATAACGCAGCTACAAAGGAAGGGCACCTATGGCAGCAGCGAGTAATCCCGAGGGGTGGGTGGAAGGCGGCAGGAAGGAGCCCCTGGCGGGCTCGGTGCTCCACATCCCCCTGGCCGCGCCCTGCTCCCAATGGGAAAAGTGGGCACATTGGCTCAAGCGCAGTCTGCGTCATAGTGTCACCGCCAAGCACAAATGCCTGTTGCTTGGCTTTTTACTACCAAGGAGGAAACCCAGGCTGTCTGCCTCTGACCTCCATCTCCAGCCTGTCTTTTTATTTTGAGATAGGGTCTCACTAAGTTGCTGAGTTGCTTAGGCTGGGCTTGAACCTGTGATCTTCCTGCCTCAGCCTCCCAGAATGCTGCTGGACTTAGAGGCATGCACTACCTTGCCCAGCAATGACTCTTCATTTTTTTTTTTTCATACTAATGCTACATAACTGTCATTCTCCTTTACTGATGGACCTTTAAAAGAAGCACTTAGAAATCCCAGTGATGGGATCTCTCTCCTTCTTTTCCAGAAGAAGAGAACAAATGCTTTTGAGGAGAGAGCACAGCTTTTCTGTGACGCTTTGCAACCTGACCAAATAATTCACTTCAGCTCAAAGAGCAGCTACTCAACTGAAAAAAAAAAAAAAGTCACAAACACAACAGGAAAAAGTACCAGCTCCAGGTACTCCGCTGTTGTTTATTGTTCACATGTGTAGGTGACGTGGTGGGTGGTGGGAACCAGCCACGGGCTGGACTGTATCTTTCCAGAGCTTGGACGGGGACCCTCTAATCCCAGAACAGGGCTGTATTCAGAGACAGTGCCTTGAATGGAGGGAGTGAATGAAAATAAGGCCTTTCCCGTGGGTCCCCATCCAGCCTGGTTGGTGTCCTCGTAAGAAGGGCAGGTGTGACACAGGGAAAGGACACAGAGAAGGCGGCCATCTGCCAGCCTGGGAGTGAGGCCTCAGGAGACACCACCTTGATCTCCGACTTCCAGCCTCCAGGACTGTGAAGAAACACATTTTGTTGTTTAAGCCGTAACTATGGTGTTTTGTTTTGCTAGCCCTAGCAAAGTAACCTAGTACTTAAAAAGTCAAAGTCAAACCCTTGAGGATATCACCGTTGGTGTGTGTGTGTGTGTGTGTTTTAATCACTTTCCTCATTGCTGATGCAAATGACCAGCACCCCCCGCTTGGAAGAAAGGTTCCGCTTGGCTCATGTTTTTCAGTTTGTAGCTGGCTGCAAGGAGGGAAAAACATGGCAGCGGGGCCTGGTGGAGGAGAACTGCTCACTCATGGCAGCCAGGAAGCAGAGAGGGAAGGCAGGAGCTGGGAGGAGACACACTTCCAGGGCCTACCTCTACACTGTGCGTGTCTGAAGGCTGGGGAAGCCGAGGCTTTTCTGCCTTCGCATCGCCCCCTTCCTCGCATTCCCAGTGTGTTACACTGAACAGGGCAGGCAGTTTTAAATGTTTGTTAAATCACTGTGCACCCACTACCACATCTGCCAACCTTTCTCAGATAACCGGTTACAGAGAGCAAAGGTTTGTTTTGCTCACTGTTCTGGAGGCTCCAGGCTTTGGTTGGCTGGGCCCATTGCTTTTGGGCCTGTGTTGAGTCAGCACATCGTGATGGGACCGTGAGGGGCAAAACTGCTCAGCTCGTGGCCAGGAAGAAACAAAGGGAGAAAGGAAGAGATGAGGGTTCCATCATCCTTCTTAAGGGCACAACCTCCACAACCCAAAGACCCCTCACGGGGCTCTGCCCCTTGAAGTTTCACTGCCTCCCAGTTGCACCTCCATGGGCCTAAGACTGCAATACCTGGTCCTTGGTGGGCAGGGATTTAAGATCCAAACTGCAGCACTTACCTTCTAAAGAAGAGTTTTGAAGATGAGACTGATACATACATGAAAGAGGCCAGATATGACCTCTGGAAAGGGAAAGATAGGGTCAGGATGAGAAACAAGTTGTGCTTATTGTAAAGAAGATAAAAAATAACAAACCCCAGCAAGACTGCCAAGAAAGAGGACCTCATATGCTCTTGGTGGCGATATAAGTTAGTACAGCTGTGATGTGATGGAAAACAGTTACGTACATTCCTCAAAAAGCTAGGACCAGATCTGTTCCCCCTGCTCTACCATGTGGCCCAGCCACCCCACTTCTGAGTGTACATGCAAAGGACGCCATGCAGAAAAACACCGGCACACCCATGGTGTCTTGAGCGGTACATTCACCATAGCTAGCCAACCGAGGTGTCCCTCAGCGGATATGTGGATAAAGAAAATGAGGCTTCATAGTCACATCTTTCCTCATGGCTGGGACACAGTCGCTGACACCCGTGACTTTAAGAAGGACAGCTTTATTCTGGCGCTCGGTTCCATCCATGGTTGACTGGTTCCAAGGTCAAAGGGCCTGGGCAGAGGAGAAGGTGCTCAGACCATGGCAGCCAGGAGGGAGAGAGGTACAGCAGTAGCTGGGGACAAGAAAGCACCCTTCCAGGTCACACCCACACTGACCACCCCTGACCACTTCCCACCTCCTAACAGCACGTTCAGCCAGGAACTCATCAATGGATGGATCCCCTGCTGAGCGGAGGTCCAATCACCATCTGTGCATGTGGGAATTTTGCGGGACTTTTTATTTATTTATTTGGTACCGGGGATTGAACTCGGGACCTTGCACTTCTGAGGCAGGTGGCAGAAGCACTGAGCTAAATCCCCAGCCCGGTACATTTTAGATATAATCCATTGTACGTGGTGTACACATAAAATGGAATATTATTTGCCCATAAAAAAGTCCCGTCATTTCTGGCACTATTGATAGAATGGGAGAACGTGATGAGTGAAACAAACCTGGTTTAGAAAGATAAATGCTTGCATGTGGAACCGGGAGTGTTGATTTCACAGAAGAGTAGAATAACAGCCTCATTCTGGATAAGAATGGGCACGGCTGACTTGCGTCCAAAATCGGTCACTGCGGCTGAATTGAGACAGGTGGTGCCTCTATCATAGTAAGTGTATCACCATGGTGACCATAAATCCTGCAACACTTTGCTGGAGAGTAAAACAAAGATGGAAAATTATTGACTTTCAGGATTAGAATTGAATGGTAAACGGGTAATATTCTAGAATCTCAATCACATTCCAACACCAAGTACTTTCTATATGATTCAAATTCTAGGATCCTAAAATAAACTGCTGGGAGAAATTTGGGTCTAAAAATCCCAGGAATTTTGAAGTTGTCATAAATGTGTCCGTAATTCAAGTGGAGATAAAAGCGCAAAGAAAAAGAAAAGAATTATGACTAGCCAGGTGCAGAGGTGTGCACCTGTAATCCCAGCACTCAGGAGGCTGAGGCAGGAGGAATCACTGTGATGTAGGAGGCCAGCCTGCGCTAAATAGTGGGTTCAAGCCCAGCCTGAACAGCCAAGACCCTATCTAAAAAACAAAACAAAACAAAAAAAATACCCCCAAAACCCACCATATATATACATATATATGTATA